TTATTGCTCATGTTCCAGAGAGAAGTCAAGCTATCCTAAAATTTTAGGAGAATTCCTAGAGAAATCGGCTGCCCCTCAGGATGTTTTTAAATCAGGTTTGTTAAAGTCAGAGTAACCTTCAAAGTGCCCATATGGGCCTAAAGCAACAGGATGGATGCTGCAAGTCACAAAATGCTGACTGCTCCCTTCTGCTTGCCCAAGAGCCAAAATAACACTTCCCAGCCTTCAGGGATCCCAAGCTTCAGCAGGACACAGTTAAGAGTAGCCAAGAACAGCCTTGATGTCTGGATTGTCTGCATTTAATAGGGAAGAATACTCTATAAAAAGAGAAAAAACCTGTTCACCTATTTATTTAGTAGTAAATAAAGACAATATCCCTGAGCTGCTGACACATAACCTCAGATACCCTATGGAAAAGGGGATCCAGATGATCACTGCCTGACAAACCACACTTGGGAGTTGAACAGCTTGGATTTTTTAATTAGCTGACATGAAGTTCCTTCACACTGCAGTATTTCTTCAACTAAGATTAGAAATTTCTGGAAAGGAGTGTAAGGTCAGTTGGGGGAGTGGGAAAAGCAGAGAGTCAGGAAAATAGGAATTTGCATCCCAGCTACTGGAAGCAGCAAACACCAATGAGCACACCCAGCCCAGCTCACCCTGCACACCCAAGGGTTTGGGATCCTGCCCAAGCACCCATCCCAGTCTGCTCTGGTCCAAGCAAGCCCAGCACATCCACAGGGATTCACTCTGCTCTAAATCAGCACCTCAGAGCCTGAATCACCTCCTCTGTCCTTAAGCCTCACTTCACCACCCAAACAATACAAAGTCCAGACAGCAATTTGCCCATCGTGATACTCAGTTAATTAAAAATGAAGAATCTTCCACCCTGTGGTTATCATACAGTTGCAATATTTTTGCAAGTAGTTAATTATAGGTAATTATTATTACAAACAATAAGAGTTATGACTTAGCAGGAATAATCATATCAATAAAACTGTATTAATTACCTTAAAATGCAGCATTAAACTGAATCAAGTTCAAAGTGACAGCCAAATGATTTATTAATTTCCCAGTGAGCTCAGAAACCACAGAGACATTCTGAACTTCAACACACAAGGGTTCTTTTCCACAAGCAGGGATTCATCAGAAGTATTTTCCTAGATTGTTTTCAGCCTGGATTAGGCTGAAACATCCAATTATCCCTCTCTCAACACAATGTAACTCTTCACATACTGTCCTTAAGCATTCATAGGAGCATGTGAAGAAGCTAAACAATACACTTCTGGGATCCTCTCCTCCACAAATCACTGCATGATGTGCAACTCATCTATTTGCTGGCATTGACAATTAGTGGATAATCAAGCATTAAAATGCTGCAACAAACTCTTGCCTCCACCCAAGAGGCAACACTGACACCGTGGAAAAGAAATGGAAAAGAAACAAATGTAAAATGACCTGGCCAAAACAAAAGAAATCACAAAAAGTATTGCTGGAGAAAAAGATGACAAAAGGTGGTTTGTTACAGAAAATGAGGAAAACACAGAGTATCAGAATTCATTGGCATGGAAGTCCAAATATCTTTTCAACAAAGTCTGGTTTGTCACCACAGCCTCTCTTAAAGCATCATCCAGCTCTTACAGCACCTGCTGACAGCTCTGTAATTCCAGAGGTCAGGAACAGTCAGCTATAAAGCTTCATGGATTAAGAACAGTCACTCAACCACCAGAGACTGCACAATCACAATCATCTCAAACAGCAAACCCAGACTGACCTTCTGTGTTTAGGATCTGATGTTCTTTGTTATGTCCACATTGAGAAACTCATCTGGATTAATGGCATTACACTTCCAGCCACTTTTCCTCACTTACGGATTTATAATGTAAATGCACACAAATATAACATAATTAAAAACCTTCTTAATCATAAGCACTGCATTGATTTATCACATCCTTTTGTAGGCTTTGTTTTTACTCTCCTTAGATTTATTATGATTACAGCAATGATGTAAAAACTACACAGCTGACAGAGGAGAATTGGGAGGGGTTTGAAGGCTGCATCTTCTAATTATTGAGTATTTGTCCTTGACTTGACCCTAAGAACAAAACCCAACAGAGATTTGCTGCTCTAAGAAAGAGAGCAGATCTTACCCACCTCTTGGCAGATGCAGGAGATTTGGCCACAATTACAGCATTCCTGTAGTCTGGTATCTGTAGTGAATAACAGACAGCAATGTCCACTTCATATCTTTAACAAATTTAAACTCAGTAAGAATCAGAGAACTTTTATTTTGCCAGAATTTTAAGCATTGAACATTTTACCTAAGAAAGCAACCTCAAGAATCCATGGTGCATGATCAGGGTTGACAGCTCAGTAATAGAAAATTCAGATATTAACTTCAAACTGTACCTTTTATAAACACCATTTTATAGTACAGCTAACAGAAAAAGAACTGCTTTAGGACATCAGGGTTACACCCACAAGTGTTAAAACAGGAAACCATCAAAATTAAAGTTTCCTGTTCAACCTAAATTGTCTTTCATCACTAAAAACTAGCATTTTACAGCTTCCTATTGTGTTATAGAGTACCCCAAGAAAAGTCACACCTCTCCATCACATCACATCACCCTGACTCTTTCTCTGGACCATCAGAAGGGATAAAACTTCCACAGTCCCTGCACTGACCCTGGAGGCTCAGTGTCAGTGCTGCAAATGCTGCCAGCCTGGTCAGCACCAGGGGATGCTGCTGAAATGCTGACAGCACAAACCAGCAAGCCTGGCTTTCCCTCTGGTGTCTGACAGCTGCTCCAGTCAGGCTTCACAAGCACAGAGTTTGCTGCCCCTGCCCCAGCTCATGCTGGTTTTTCACTCCAGATTCCTGATCCACATTTAACTGGCATTTTAGTCCCCATCTCTCAAAAGTTTCTTTTCCTCATCTCCATTTTCCCTGCAAACAGTGACTCCACATCAGATTCATTGGTTTGTAACTTCCCAAGCATTCCACCATCCACACTTCCAGTTCTTTCCAACTGCAACTCCAACTGCAGTGCCTCTGGTACCCCATTGTACCCCACTCCTTGCAAACTCAGCCTTTTCCTTCACTCTGCTGCCCTGGGATGATCCATCTCTATGGAGAGCAGCTGAAAGGAACCTGTCTGTCCTTCTAGCCCCAAACCACAGTGCTGAGCCAAGCAAAGTCCCACAGAGCAGGTCCTCAGCATCCCAGTGTAAGGGATGGAAGACTGTTCACCAAACACCTGCAAATTGATCTGTGAGGGGTGGAATTCACAGATCTGTGGGGATGACACCCTGTCATGCAGCTCACCACCTTGTCAGATATCTAATACCCATTCCAGAGCACTGAAATACTTGGGATTTCTGCCAACACAGGCAAAGTAAGTTCTTCCACAATCTGATCCACAATATACAAACTGCACTGGCTGATTATTTCCAAAAGCTCCACCTGAAGTAGGCATGGGAAAGAAAAAATAAGTTCTGAATTTGGGCAAGGGTTCAACCAACAGAAAATAAGAAATTTTTTGAGGACGTCAGGCAACATTAATAATCCACAATGTTGGTAACTCCACCTATAAAGAGGGAATTCAGCATGTTCTGTCCTTGGCAAACACTGAGTTATACAAGAGGCTACAAAGATGAACATGATGGAAGGTATGGACAAGGCAGGGCCTGTCACTCGACATAATAAAGGCTTTGATCTACTTCAGACACCATTGCCTCATTTTTCCTCTGCCAAATGAACAAATTTGTTCTCAGCTCTTCAAAAATGAAGTCAGAAATGTCATCCCAAAGACTCTGAGGTGTCAACACGTCCATGTAACAAAGGGCTGTGTCACTCTGGGATTCACACCTGCTAAAAGCAAAGAGAAGCCACCAAGCATCCAACATGTGCCAAGCACACCAAACTAAACACACAACTATTTTATATCACAGGAGCTTCACTGACTGCACTGTCTCCATCCCAGAGCAGCAAGGGATTCCCTTCACATCTAGGCATAAATTTCCAACAGGAAACAACTACAAGCCCTCATTCTCCCAACTTTCAGCGAGATGGTTTTTAACTGACTTTCATCCTTATCAAGCTGGACTCCACCTCATGCTCTTCATCATGATTCCCACAGCTTTGGAAGCTCTGGCATTCCCAGGGCAGGATATGCAGCGAGTTGTGGCCACCAGGAACTGGAGATGAATACTAAACTCCCCCTGAGCAGCAAAGATCAAAGTTTTAAGCACAGATAAAAGATCTGGCTGGTGAAGGTACTTGCCAGAACAGATTTTGTGTGATCAGATCTGCTCAGTTCACTCTGGTTTTAGAAAATCCCCTCATGGATGAGCAGAGGGATGAAGAACTGAAAGTATCTTTTAAAACTTCTCTACAAAGGGTCATTTGTTAGATTGCACAGCACTGTCAGACTCAAAGCTGCAACAATTCTGTGTAAACCACTGAAAGCTCAGGAATCAAAAGGTGCTTCAAGACCAAATCAGGACCATGATCTTGTTATTGACCATAAACCACACTTTCAAGCAACACATAAAGGCAAAACTTGACTTGTGTCTGTGTGTTTTGTTTTCCACTTTTGTTCTTTTTTTTTTTTTAAAGTTAGGAAGTGCTTACAGTGTGCAATACTTCTTTCCTGGAACACCAGATGAATGACTGTGGCAAAGCCTGGAGTTTTGTTCTGCCATCCTCTTTGACTCTATTACCAAATGAAATTATAATGAGGAACTCAAATAGATTTCAATACTGTCATAACAAAATCATGCTGGTTTGGGTTTCTTTAAGGGGGTGGGGTGGGGTGTGTTTTGTTTTTTAAATTGAGCCATTCCTAGCTTTATAAAAAGAAATAGCTTGGATTCAAAAGCAAGAGTGAGCTAAACCCTTTCTCTCACCAGGAAGAAAGCATTTGCTTTATTCCAAATTACCATTAGTCAGAGGCTTAACGTGCATCTTATACCTACAATTATCATTTGCACATTTTGTACAGGCCAATCCACCAGGAGCACTTCTCAAAACCCTTATAAAAATAAGATGGAGGCACAGAACATCCCAAGTTAAGCTCCTCAAGTCAAGACATGCAGTCTGAACTAACAGGGAGTGAGATTTCCACCCACCAGCCTGACTTTCAGAGCACTATCAATAGGCTCGCTCATAGTTTACAACTTCCAAATGTTTCTTATTTTGTCATTTAAATTTATGCCCACACAAGCAGCCCTTCCTATAAATGTCAAGGAAACTGGAAATAGGAAAGGAAGAGGACATTGAGAGCAAGAAAATGCTAATTTTTTTTCAGTGTTAGGGGAATGTATCTAAGAGAAAAACCAGCATTGCTGCATGGGTAAGAAAACATCAGCTCTTCAAGAAAGCAAAAGTTAAATGTGGGGAAGAGAAGAATCAACAGTTCCCAACATCACTCCCTGCCCCAAGTGACCATTCTCCCCTTAAAATTCAGTTTGAAGAGTTAATCTTTTCAGAAAGATTTGTTTCACATGCCCTGAGACATGACAAAAAAGAATTTAAAAACCCAACTGTAATAACAGGCCTTCCTCACCTCTTCTTGGATGTACTGGAGTAAAAATGGAGATGCTCTCAAGTTATCAACTGGAATATTGAAGAAACCCTGAATTTCCTTCTGATGTAGATCCATGGTAATAAGATGAGTTAGCCCTTTAAAATAAAATAGTGAAACAAACAGAGAAGCACATTAAGAAAAGTAAGAGAGAACAGACACTTTATTTTTCTAACTTTCACTGCAGTTTGTCCAGAAAATTTCTAAGCTGCATGAGAACACTGAGTGAAAATACATAATAAATTCATTTTAGTCCCTCTTAAGCACACTGGCATTAACATGTTTTGAGGCTTCCAGAGTGACTTTTTTAAAAGAACCTCAGAACCCTGCACATAACTGGCTCTGCAGTGCCACACTGAGGCAGGCAGGATCCTTCTCCACTGGACACAGGACAAAATGGAAGCATTGATTTGTCCAGTGTCACACAGCATGCTCATTAATTCTGAATCCTGAAAAATGGGCCAAGCTCCTGATCAAAAACCACTTCTCCCAAAATAACAGCCCAGATCCCACAGTTTGTTAGAACTGCCTGCTTTTTCCCAGGGATGGGAGTGAAAGGAAAGAAGTAGAAAATGTGTTGAAGGCTGTGAAAATGAATAATCTCATTCTCCCACATGGTCTCAGATGTAGAGGACAAAGTGCATTCATCCAACAAGTAAAAAACAAGACAGAAATGACAAGGCACAACTGTTCCAGACTGCAGGGAAGGCCAAGGATGGTACTGGGAGAGGTGATACCACAGCCCAAAGCAGCTCAGCACAGCAGCTCAGTACAACTCGGTGTAAAATGGTTCTATCCCATTTGGAGTTTTGATGAACTCACAATCTGGGAACATTTCTCATTACATTCTCCTTTTCACGTAGATTTAAACACATGAAAAGCTTGGCAGTTATTTTTAACCAGAGTCCAAACTTGTGTACAGATCTCCCTAAAGCTGGAAGCTGACAGCAGGAGCCCCCTTGCTCTGATTTAAGGACAGCCACATTCTTACCAGCTTTGCACATCATCGAGGCCAGCAACTTGGAGACAATGGAGCCCCTTTTCCTCATCTTGCACTGTTTGCTGTAGGGGAAGTAAGGAACCACTCCAATAATGCTTTTGGCACAGGAGGTTTTACATGCATACACCATGATCAGGAGCTCCATGATGGTGGTATTCACATCCCTGCAACGAGAAACATCTGCTCCTGGAGCTGCTGCACAAAAACCCTCAATTCACCACACTATTCACACCCAGCAGACACAGAGAGGGCAGATTTTTAGAGAACTGGTCATCAGCTAAGAGCTGCATTTCTGCTGCCATTAAAAAAAAAAAAGTCTTAGCATTTGTAAAGTTCTTTTCAGATAAAATTAAAGAATTTCTGAATCACAGGACACATTGCCCAGGAAACATTCCTCCTACATCTTAACTTTGTGATGGTGCTACAGACAGGGAGCTGAGAAGAGAAGAATTTAAAAGAGATTGACATAAACAACAGAATACACTTAGGGAAGGAATGCAGAGACCAAGGGGAAGGCTTTATTTTTTTTTTTTTTATTGCTATAGTCACTACAAATTAAAATTGTAGAAGCTACCTTATGCCAAAGCTGCCTTTGTGTACGTATAAAAACCCAACAAAACCAATACCCCAAACTCTCCACAAGCCTCTATCTAGTTAATATAATCTTATTAAACTGCATCACAAGCATAAAAGGTGATTAAAAATGAAAACAGAAGCATTGCTATGGACAGCCCAGATCAAATGCCAGCACAGGGTCTTTAAAAAGTTACTCACTTTGAAACTGTCTGGATGATAAACACATCCTTCCCTCTCACAGACTCCTGAATCTGCACTCGTGTTTCTGCCAAGAAGAGAAATATGTAACATTTACAGGAGCAAAACTCTTTCTAGAGTCTAAGAAAGGGTGAAGTACATTGAAATCAGTGTCAGGGGCATTTCCAGTTTTGCTCATTAAATGCTCACCTCTGTTTGCCTCTTGATAAACCTGAACCTTCCCCATCTCCACTCCCAGGCGCCTGCAGGAACAGAAATAAGGCAGAAGTCAGGAAGGGCAAATCAAATGTAAATCCCATAGAATACAACAGTCACTGAAAAGGCTGCATTCTGTGGGAGAAAACCAAGGAAAGAAAATCCCAAACCATAAACCCAGCAATTACAGTGAACACTTCTCTAAAAAGCACCTACAATTCCCCAAAGCTGCACTGCAGACTATGCTAAACTTATTTTCCAGCAGGAAAAAAAATGGTGCTGTAAAAATGTAACATTTTGTAATTTTTAATATATTTCTTGCCCTACATATACACACACACACGTGGCAACATACATGTAAAAATACTGCTTTTCAATCACTCTTATCTATAGAAAAAAGTCAAAGCAGAGTGAAGAGGAAAGAGCAGCAAGCACCATTTTATGGAAAATGGAAGAATAATATCTGCTGTATTTATTCCTTGTCAGCATGAGCTACACCCCATCACTACAAAGAGATCAGAGTATTCTCTGCACTCAAGTTCAAATTCTTTCTACAAATAACCTGGGTTCCTCTGCACTGCCCTTTCTCTCCTAGCACACCCAACTTTGGGTAAATAAGCCTCTGGAAGAAATCCACCTTGTCTAATATTCCCAGTAATGTTATGCATCCCAATTAGCACAGTAAAAATGTACTTAAGTCCTAAAAAATGTACTTAAGTCCTAAAAGTTCTGCTAGAGATATGCATGGATTTAAGCTAAAGAAATGTTCCCATCCAAAATATCCAGAGAGCAGGAGGGATGGAGCTGTCCTGCCCAAAAACACCCCACTACAAGGAGAGAAAACTTCTGCCATGATGATTTATCACTATGCAAACATGAATTATCCCACGAGTTTCCTATGAAATGCTGCAGCCAGTCACAGCCTGCCACAGAACAATTCAAACACAAATTACTCTCTCTGTTATTGAGCTGTTGAAATTTCCTCTCCTATAGAGCAAACTCCATATTCTTGCAAATCATGGCAGTTTTCCCATGTAACCTTAGTTAAATAGGGAAAGAAAAGTGTCCAGTGAAACAAATCCCATCAGAATAACCCCAAGCTGGGAAGATTCCCTGCAGCCTTTACTTACTCAGCAATCCTCCTGGACAGTTCCATGCACGAGGAGTTGGAATTAGCTGAGAACAGCACCAGCCCACCCTTGGTGATATTCATGATGGCCCCAATTTCACTTGATGGCACACAAAACATCAACCCTAAGTTGTTTTGCCGCTTCTAAAAGACTGCAAGAGATCAAAAGTCATTTAAATCCATGTTAAAAAAACAAAACAAAACAAGACACACATTTGCTCTGTTTAAAAAGTGTAATCTTTCAGAACCCTGGATATTCCAGCATCATTAAAATCTGTTATCTCCACTTTAAAAGCTCTCCAAAGATCCCCCAAGAAAACCTTCTAGCACCAATTTTTCTTCCCTTTTTAACTGTTTTCCTCAGGCTACCATCCAGTAACGCTGATACTTTTTTTCCATCACCTTGTCCAGCTCATTTTCCAGAACTGAGCAACGTTTATTGACTTTTCCAAAATCACAAAGACAGGCAGGGGTAGAATTGAGCTAAAAAGAGCTCCTGGGCCCAGGCTAGAAGAGTCTATTGCCAAAGCTGAATCTCTTCCCAGTACTTTTGCAGTTATAAACTTACAAATAAGGATGAAATGTAAGGAAGAATTCAATAAAGCTGGCAGCTGTAAATAATGACCTCTTGCACAGCAAATCCACTTGCTGAAGCAGCTGTTGTCATTCTTTGAAAGCAATATTTCTCCTGTGAAAACAGGAGAAAAATATCAGGAGGAAATCAGTATAATTTGGTTTTTGTTTCAAATAAAGGCACAAACCACTAATCTCACCAAGGACTTGATGGGATTCCATGTTTTTATTATTCTTTGTAAATCACATTTTCATGGTTACTCCTACTATAAAATTTTAGTCAAATAAAAGGGGAAAAAAAAGATCCCATTGACCAGCAGCCCTGGATAGATGGAGGCAGCATTCAGCTTAAAATCCTGCTGCATAAATAATCCAATCCTTCATCATCCATTTCAGCATTATTTAGGAGACTGGAAATAGGAAATACAAGTGGCATAATTTAAACCAAAATAAACAGAAGTTACAGTTAAATCAGTAACTTCTTTCCTGGTAAACATCTCCCTGCTGAGAAACAGAATTATCTAACAGTCACACCTAATTGGTTAGAAAAAGCTGATGATGTATCAACTATTAAGGACTCCAAAACAACAAAAATAAAGAGTTGGAGAGGAAGAGTTCACAGGAACAGCTGGGCGGGTCTGTAATGAAACTCCTTCCCACCTCCTTTACAACCAGACAGTCTGGCTCAGTTTAACTCTGTCACAGGAACCCGATTCACTCTTGTGAAGAGCCAAAGTCAAGTCAGGAACTTCCTAACAACAAATCTGCGGGTGCCAAGGCTGAGCTGGGCTCAGCTGCCATGAATGAAAACCCGCCTGGCACCAGAACTGTGCACAGAGCGCCAGCTTCAGCCCCCAGCACGTCTGAATGTTCCCCTGCACTAAACCCAGAGGGGCTCCCAAAGCAAGACCTGTATCCCTCTCAAATTAAATACCTAAAAAAAACCCCCATTTCTTAGCTAGTGTTTCTCTGCTCCGCTGCTCATTCACTCTCTGCAACTCCCAGCTGTCAACTAATGGCCATCACCCATCAAATATTCATGATGGTGTTCAAGATCCATCTCAGCTCCACCAGAGCAAAGAACCTGAAATGCTTTTAGGTCTAACAGCACCTGAGAGCATCCTGTTTGTGGGCCTGGGTGGGAACAGAGTGGAAGCAACTTTCTGTGTTACTAAAAGCATTCACGGAGTGTTCAGAAGGTGTATTTTTATCCAGTTGTGTGTCTTCTTTGTTCCATAGATCTGAAAAGATGAGTTGTTGGATCCCCACTATTGTTGAGGGTGCACTTTACACCACAATACACTGATGTATTTACAAGCAATAGTGAACATTGCTCTTCATTTTATTGTAGGTCAAGGACTTTCTTGTGGATGTACTTCAGCAGCTACAGGTGGGCTATGGTGTGTGTGGGCAGGGAAGTTGCATTTTAAGGGTAATATGGATATATCAACCTTCAAACAGGTGTTGGGATGAAAGCAAGCTCACGAAACTTTATTAGATGTGCAAAGGCATGACTCCACAGGGGTACATAGGACAATAATCTCAGGTGTGAGGTGGGCCAACCTTCCAAGGTTGAACACAAGCACAGAACAGGCTGCAGCACAAACACCTGCCTTTCCTTTTGGGCTGCACACGATTACACAGACACATCATGATGAGCACAACAATCACTGGGCACACACGGCTTTATGCCTCCATCAACTGAGCACGTCCACACAGAAAGCAACAGAGGCAGGAATAACTGGATGGGATAAGGAATGGAGCCCATGGGATGGAGGGAATCTGCACCCTCTCCCCAATCTCCCCACGGGGAATTTTCCCGTTCCCTCCACACTCACCGATCCCCGTGGGCTGAGACCCTTCCAGCCACCCCTCCCTGCGGTGCTTCGGGTGCTCCAGGTGGGTCACACAGGGCCCGTGTCCCTCATG